AGTAACACAGCTATAACTATCAAAAATAATTTCGTGGGGAAAAAACTAGTCAATTATTTTTCTCATTCGGTTGTCTTTTAGACATGCCAACAGCCTGTGGTAAAAGACTTAAAGTCCATGGTGTTAATGTTAAAGGTAGTTTTATTTGAGGATTTTATTGTCCAACGAAAACGCAATAGTAACTCATCAATTTAATATTTGTTTGGCACGTTATTTTGTCAAAAGATTAAACATTTTTTAATATGTGAAAAACCTTTTTGCCTTAAAATGGTTTGATTTGTTTAGTTTCTGAACATTGTCCGTAAAATGATATCCTTACCTCATAATTGACGGGATTTTTTTGCTTTTTTAAGAGATATGCAATTGTAATCCTTTAGGGGAAGACAGATTGTTTTGTATCCTTACAAATTTAGATTTATAGGAACGAAAGTCAACTTCCTTGCACTTTAGAATTTGTAAATAATAACAGATAGTTGTTCACACTGATGTAAAATAAGGTTATTGATAACAATCACGTGCTTTCATGTGAAGAAATAAAAAATCAGTTTGTTTTCTTTCAATTTATGAAAAGTCTAACTTATATAAATCTTTAATAATGATTTAATAATGTAAGTTCTAAACATCATACTTACAATTCCATCTCTAAAGTGAGAGGTGAATTTGATTTATAGATGTCAAAATTAGGCTGGAACTGAAAATAATATCAAAATTCTATTTAAAAGAAAAAATATTAAATCAATGAGTTTATGTGAAAAAATTACCTTACAATCATAATTTGGAAGTGATTTTGTTTTATTTGAAAGTGCTCTAAATAATTGTAATTTGTGTAAAAGATATATTCTTGAACTAACCTCAAGCCATTTTTAGCAAGCACTGGAGAAGGGTATTGTCCCCCATATATGTATATATCGCCGCTTCTAATAGAGATGGAAGTAGTTGGAGAATATAATGGAATGTTGTGCCAACCGCCAGGGGCACAAATTCCATATTTGGATACACAGCATAGAAATAATAAATGCCAAATTTAACGACACATCGTGCTTTTTATCTAAACTATCCACAAGGTACCTCTGTTTTTATAAAAACATTTAGCTACCTAAATGCACAGATAAATGTTCTAATTTGCAATAGGGACTTTATATATTCACGAAAAATTACGTTCAACTTGATATGAATTCGCTTTCTTTGTCACCTGGACTGATCAAAAGCTTATAAAAATGAATTACATGGTTGTGATGTTGTGCCATTGTGTCGATTAAATTAACATACGTTTTAAACCACTTTATAATAATTAAAGATCAATTACAATTCAAATATCATAGGTTTATTTCATACAATAAAGTAAAAGATTACAAAAAACACACACAATTTGTCTACTTACAATACCAAAAAGTAAAATGATTAATGTGGCTTTAATGTTTAAGTTTTGAATAAGTTCAGTTTATTTCAATCAGAACCATTGAGCTAAAAAACCCATGATGCATACATATGCAAACTTTTATGACGAACAGTTAATACATTTAACAACAATTTCATTAGAACAATGAATGTTCAGTTTATTTCAATCAGAACCATTAGGCTAAAAAACCCACGATGCATGCATATACAAACCTTAATGACGAAAAGTTTATACATTTAAAGGCACATTATACCTGAGAAATGAATAAATGTTTCCTTCTAAGAAAGGGCAAAGATTAATTTTATAACCTTTAAATAATGATTTTAGAGTATGTTACATGCTTATCACCTGAAGAAAGTAGTAGTGAGTGTGAAATAATTTGTCATAGAAGTAGCAAAATGTAAACAAAGTAGTATTTTGACTTCCATACAAAATACTGAATCAGTATAACTATACTGATTGCCAAAAAGCAACAGAAGCAAAAAAATGGTTAAGTTAATTGCCAAATTATCGAAGTTATAACAGGCCCCCCCCCCAAATAAAAAGCATTTGAGAAATAAAATTAAAACAATTTCTGTGGCATAATGGGCCTTTAACAACAATTTCATTAGAACAATGTATCTTGCAAACATAATTTTCTTTGTAGAAGGTTTTTTATCCTTATTCACCCTCACCAATTGTGACATATTTCGAACTTACTCATTCCAGTTTTAAAGTCAACATTTTAAAGAAACGAAACATAAAGGTGACTGAATGGAGTGAACATAGTATTAAGATAAACTAAATGACCAATGTACTATTTCTGTGTGATGAGACTATTTGCTACATATGAAAGACATCTTAACACAATACACATTAATATCATAATATAAATACAGCACAATAAAGTGATACTGCATTCTTTAAACTGAAACCTTACATGGTTAACAATATAGAAAATAATTGTAAAACATACACCTTATTTAACAATTACCATATAATATTTCGTTAAGTTTTTTCAAAAGCAGTGTGTATGAAAGTTCCAAGCATTCTTACTATAATCTGGTTTTCGTTATTCATCAAGTCTATAAATTTGTACATATTTGTCTTCGCCAATATTTTAATTATATATACTTATGTCTAAGTTCATCGTACAACTTGCAATCTATAATAAAATGATAGTCGTCTTCTAAGACGTTACAAAAGTTACATAATCTTTCATTTACTAGTATAGTCGCCAGTCTTGACCAACGACCTGCTCCAATTTGCAGTCTATGTGACGAAACTATTAATCTATTACAAGATTACCAAAAAATAATTCTTGCAAAATGTTCTTAGTAAGGTTGAAATCTAAAATTTGAAATAGTTCGATGAAACAGTGCTCTCCTAGAATTATCTAATCTATAATGCCAATTCTGCTTTGACGGATCATGCAATCTTTGTTAAGCTAAAGACAAAATAACATACTATTATAAACATTTTGTTGCAACCAGACATTATAAAATCAAAGTGTACAAAATTAGTCTTTTACTAAAAAGCACCAATTTACTTTATTCGGTGCATTTTTTACAATCATTTTTGAGCATATGATACACCAAAGACACTTATTTATTTTCTTCTGTATGTACGACTTTGACCCAATATTTTATTATATAGTGCCTGTTTTGTCTGCATTGAATAAGCATTTTAGTAGAATATTTGATACAGGATATTTTCTTGAGAACGGGTTCCTGTCAAAAATGAGTACAGTAGATGATATTTTTGTGTTAAATAGTCTGATTAATCATGTTTTAAATCAAGGAAAACAACTATTTTTCGACTTTTCTAAAGCTTTTGATTATGTGGTTAGAGAGAATTTGGGATACAAATTGATAAAATTAGGTCTTAGAAGTAGTATTTAAAATTCATGAAGTCTATGTATCAATTAGTTAAGTCATGAGTACAATATATGAATAAATTTAGTAGTGACTTCCCATGCATGCTTGGCGTTAGACAAACAAGGGGAATGCTTATCCCCCCTCCTCTTTTACTATGTAATAATGACTTTAACCGAGTCTGCAATTCTTTTGTAATTCTGTTGTGACTAATGCTTCCCAGGGATCACTTTGTTACCAGATTCTTTTAGAAGATATTTACATCAGCAGTCGATCACAAGGATATTTGCATGTTTAAAAATATATATTATTTTATGCAGATGACATTGTAATTTTTGGTAAATATGCAGAAGAATTGCAACATTAAATAAATCTTTTAGCAGATTATTGTTAAACTTGGAAAATGAAAGTTAAGACAACAAAAAACAAAAGAAATGATCTTTAGAAGAGATGGTACCATTCCTAGAAATCTTAAATTTTATTACGACGATGAAGAAATTGAAAAAGTAAGTTTACATATTTAGGTATTGCTTTTACAAGTGGTGGATCTTTATTTACAGCACAAAGTACACTAGCTGAACAAGCTCAAAAAGCTATTTTTAACTTAAACAAGTATTTGTAAAAATTCACATATATAACTCACAAGCATAAATTTGATTTATTTGATAAATAAGTATCTCTTATTCAAAATTATGGAAGTGAAGTTTGTGGTTTAGCTAAATATTGACAATAGAAAGGGTACATTTACAGTTTTGCAAGAAAGTACTTTGAGTAAAAAAGACCATACAAAATTAATTTATTTACGGTGAACTAGGTAGATTAAGTTTTTAGACAATACACTATTATAACTAATACAGTTTTACCATTAGTATAAAAAGTTGTTTACAAAACAATCTGGACCACTAAACTTAGTTTCGTTTAACTGTTTTATAGCATGATTTATTTCATCATATGAAAAATTATTGTTTAATTCCTCAAACATTACATTAAACTCATTAATTTCAAAACGTTCTATGAAATGTATTGCATCCTCATCTGGAACAAAAAAACTGTCAGAATTATTTATTGCCTTCAAATACATTTCAAAGGATGACAAGATGAATTTGTAGATTTAACACATGCAGTTTATTTAGCATGTTCCAATATAAGCGTGCATTTTCAAACCTAGCATTAACAAGTTTGGATGTTGTTGTTTTTTTTCATAATTGAAACGACCTCTTATATATTGACCGTTTTTGTGCCATATTTCTTCTATTTAAATCACACGGGCCATTTCTGTATCTATTCAATAAGTTTAGGAATACATTTTTTTCTTTTCAACACATTCATTATCATACCACGGGCTATAATATTAATGAATACTTTTTACATATAAGCTTAGACTATAATTTTAAGAACGAAAACTGTATCATTTAACTTTAAGTGATGGGTCTTGTAAGGTAAAAGGATCGCCGAGCAGTTGCCGATTCGATACCTTAATTGACATCTGATTTTTATTTCTCTTTTTAATGATACACAAAATTCAAAATAATTGTAGATCTAGTAAAGTAAACGAAATACCGTTAGTAAACACAGCTATTCACATAATCAAATGTTTTGTCTCTTTATGATCTTTTTCTTTGTTGATGTTACAGGGAATAGTTATTTAAAATGTATTTAAAGTCATTCTATGCATTTGATATGAATGATAATAACAAAGTATAACAGTAAAGAATAAATTCGTGGACAAGAACTAGTCAATTATTTTTCTTCTTCGATTGTCTTTAAGACATGCCAACAGCCTGTGGTAAAAGACTTGAACTCCATGGTGGGTTGCATCTGATATTAAAAGTAGTTTTCTTCGAGGGTTTTATCGTCCAGAGAACGTCTGTTTCACATAACCGTCGCTAAAATGACAACATGAAAAAGCAATGTTCAGTAACTCATCAATTTAATATTTGTTTGGCACGTAATTTTGTTAATATGTTAAAATCTTAATATGTGAAAACCCTGTTTGCCTTAAAATGGTTTGATTTGTTTAGTTTTTGAACATTGTCCGTAAAATTATATCCTTACCTAATAATGGACGGGTCTTTTTACTTTTTTAATAGAAATGAAATCGTTATCCTTTGGGGAAAGACAGACTGTTCTTTTTCCTTATAAATTTAGATTGATAGGAACGAAGTTCAAATTCCTTGCACTTAAAAATTTGTAAATAATAAATAGTTGTTCACACTGATGTAAAATGTGGTTATTAATAACAATCACATGTTTTCAGGCTTAATAATAAAGCGTTTTATTAATTCAAAATAAGTCCAACTTACATTAAATATATAATAATGTACGTTAAACATCACACTTACAATTCCATCTCTAAAGTGAGAGGTGAATTTGACTTTATAGATGTCAAAATTAGGCTGGAACTGAAAATAATATCAAAATTCTATTTAAAAAATTAAATAAGGATTATAAGGATTATATGTTAAACAAAATTACAACTGATAACAATTCCAATTTTATTTTATTTTATTTTATTTGAAAAGTACTCTAAATTAAATAATTTGTGTAGAGATATAAATTTGAACTAACCTCAAGCCATTTTCTAGCGAGCACTGGGGAAGGGTATTGTCCTCCTATATATTTCGCCGCTTCGTAAACAGAGATGGTACTACTTGGAGAATATAATGGAATGTTGTTCCAACCGCCAGGGAAACAGGTTACATATTTTGCCGCAAAGCAAAGAAATAATACATGCAAAATTTTACAACACATCTTTTTGTATCTTTTCTCTAAAATATCCACAAAGTAATTCTAAATTGATAATTTAGCTACTAGAATACACAGATAAATGCTCTAATTTGCAATAGGGACCTTATATATTTTCGAAAAACTACGTTCACCTTGAGCTGAATTCGCTTTCTTTGTCACCTGGATAGATCAAAAGCTTCTATAATGAATTACATGGTTGTGATGTTGTGACTTTGCACCAGTTAAAATACGTTTTAAACTACTTAATAACAATTAAAGACCCATAATTATTAAAAAGTCATCGGTTTATTTCATAAAATAAAGTACAAGATTACAAAAACACACATTATTTTTCTTATTACAATAGCAAATAGTTTAATGATTAATGTTGCAATGATAAAATGTATGATGGTATATAAAATTATATGTTTTATTTTTTTGAGGCTACTATATATTCGGATTAATTTAATGTTCCGTTTTTATAACGCAGTACTTCGAGTGTATACGATATAGACTCAAAATTTAGGATTAATCGAACGAAGCTGTTTCTTTTATGTCTTTTATGTCAATATTCTTTCTATGTTTCTTTTCTCAGAAACAAAGCCTTTGTCTGTATTTTACTTACAGATTATATTACTTTTTTTAAAAATTAGTCATAATTTAACCAATTCTTTTAAATTTAAACTGACAGGCTTCTCAGATAAATTTCATTTAAAGAAAAGAACAAACTGTTTTGATCTCTGTTTTTTCAGGGCGAGACAGTTTGCGTCATCGTCGGATACCCACGGCCGAACCATTAACATTTATCAGCCGTGGGATTTTTTGCCGATATTCAGTCGATAAGAGGTGTGTCAAAGGCAGCTATTTCATTGGCTGCCTCACGATTTCATGAGGCGATTAAAACCAATCAAAACGCTCGTTCTGTACGACGTTCGGTATAACAGACACTATTGCAACAACCATAGACGACGTGAAAAGTTTAACATCGAAAAATTAAACGATTTCCAGCAATAAAATAAATAATTTACTTTTACAGCGTGATGTTTTCCTTTCTGATTGATATCTGCTTGCAGAAGAACTGATTTGGCGATAGTTTTTGCCATTGATTTTAGGAAGACACGTACAACAGTTTTTAACCATGGGCGCTGCCATTTTGTTTCTTATAGTTTTTTACCTCCACTGTTGAAAAATATAGATTTGTTAAACGCGATGTCATTGGTAGATATTTTACGCACCTGTTGCTGTATATCGACGTAAATCGATTCATTTTACCCACGGTTGATTGCATGTTATGTGACATGTTTATCAATCGTGGGTATCCGACGATGAGTTTGCGTCAACGTGCTTTTGATTTTTCAAATCAATTTAATTTAATATAAATGAATTATCATTTTTATCAAAGTAGAACACTGAGGCAAGAGACGCATGCTTTTATAATTGGTGTGGCCAACATAATTATATTAAACATGAATGATTTGTTTAAAATATTTTGATCTTCTTAATTAATATTTAATGTTTTATCCGATTGCTAGTTTGCCTTAATAGTTGGGCTTTCTTTAGGGATTCTGCATTTATCTATTTTATGATCACATCCGTGTTATTTGTGCCGTGTGGCGGCTGTAAAAAGTCTCCCCGTACATTTAATCAATGATGTTATATTTTCGATCCTTGAAGGTGGTTCAGCAAGACATTCTTGTTGTGCTTGTGGTGTTTTTAGTTTCAACTTTTCGGCATTTTCTAGTTGGGTGGTTCCAATATTCCTACTTAAATAATGTTGAATCACCCTTAGGATATGTTGCCTGCTTTTTAACTTGTCTTTTGACGTCTTATCTGTGATATGCAGGCTTCATAACCTCTGATCCCCTTTCAAAATTCCATTTGATTTAGTTCCGCCCATTGTTTTCTCGTTTAGGGCACACGCTTTTTCTTTACTTGGGCACCAAATGCCGCTTTTCATGGAATGTCACGAAAGTGTCACATTGAAGGTTCCATGTTAACCGCCGTATGAAAACATCTGTGGATGATTCTAAATTCAAAATTTTAACCATTTCATGTTTAAATGTTGAATTCTGCGTAGGGGACGTGGACGGTAACTTTCACATTCCAGTACCGTCCATGAACAAGCTTAATCAAACCGAGCCTGTAACATTTTCAATTTTGCCGTGTTGGGCTTTCTTAAGAGATTCTGCATTTATCTATTTTAATAAACACGTCTGGTCATGCAAACTGTTTTTGTTATATGTATATTTAAGTTCAGCTTAGACTGTAACTTTTAAGACAAAAACTGTATCACCTAACTCTGGTTGATGGGTCTTGTAAGGTAGAATGATCGTCGAAACGTTGCAGCATGACCTCCAGATTCATACTACTTTTCATGAAAATTTTGAAAATGTATTTAAAAGAAATGTTCATGAAGTTGGCAGCCTAGCAGCCTGAAGTTGGCAGCCTAGCAGCCTAAAGAAAACTTAGAATAGTACAAACATGAAAACCGTCGGAAATACATACGTAGCACTTCTTTAGATCATCCCATGCCTTTTTCAATAAAATAGATAAATACAGAATCCCTAAAGAAAGCCCAACACGGCAAAATTGAAAATGATGCAGGCTCGGTTTGATTGAGCCTGTTCATGGACGGTACTGGAAAGTGCAAGTAAACGTCCACGCCCCCTATCACCGGCTTAAGCAGAATTCAACATTTATACATGAGCGGCGTATGGTCCCCAAGTAATAAAAAGCGTGTGCCCTAAACGAGAAAACAATGGGCGGAACTAAATAGAATGTAATTTTGAAAGGGGATCAGAGGTTATGAAGTCTGCGTATCACAAATTAGACGTCAAAAGACAAATTTAAAAAGCAGGCAACATATCCTAAGGGTGATTCAACATTATTCAAGTAGGAATATTGGAACCACCCTACTAGAAAATGCCGAAAAGTTGAAACTAAAAACACCACAAGCACAACAATAATGTCGTGCTGAACGATCTTCAATATCGTGATCTTTATTTTTTAAGATGTTGGACTTTATCGTACCATTTTTCTTTTCATTCTGACGCTTCGAAATTTGTGAAGTTAGCAGCCTAGCAGGATAGTACAAACATGAAAACCGTCGGATATGAATCAGAAGCAAATACTTAGACCGGTCAATGTCTTATTTCAGTATCGTGTACCTTTTTTAAAAAAAATACTGAACTTTTTTTATTTTGACACTTCGAAATTTGTGAAGTGAGCAGCCTAGCAGATATTGAAAAGGGCGTGGAATGATCTAAAGAAGTGCTACTAATGTATTTCTGACGGTTTTCAGGTTTGTACTATTCTTAGTTTTCTTTAGACTGCTAGGCTGCCTGGTTGCTAGGCTGTTAGCTTCACAAATTTTGAAGAGTAAAAAAAAAAAGGCAAAGTTCAATATTTAAAAGAATTAAGTTCCCGATACTGAAAAAAGACATGGAATAGTCTAATTATGTGCTACCGACTCATTTCCGATGGTTTTCATGTTTGTATTATCCTAGTTTTCTTTAGGCTGCTAGGCTGCTAACATCACCAATTTTGAAGTGTCAAAATAAAAAGCTCAACATCTTAAAAAATAAAGATCACGATATTGAAAAAGGGGTGGGAATGATCTAAAGAAACGCAACTTATGTTTTTCCGACGGTTTTCATGTTTGTACTATTCTTAGTTTTTTTAGACTGCTAGGCTGCCAACTTCATCAGCCTGCCAACGTCAGGCTGCTAGGCTGCCAACTTCACGAACATTTAAAAGTACAATATTGTGAAGTGAACAAAGAAAGTAATTAACACATTGCAAACGGCATTAACAATCCATGTACTTTACCAAAAAGAATAAATATGAATACCTCTTACTGCGTTACTAACGCAGTAGAATAATAGTGATTGATACTGCAAAATTAATCGCACATAACATGTAAATAATTAATTAAATATTGAATATTTTAACTTTTGATCTTTATACATTTTTTCTAACGATTGAATTTCTTGATTTTTTTTGTTTATCTGGAGGCGTGCAGCTTTAATTTGACCTCGGATTTTTATTTCACTTTTTAATGAAACACAAAATTCAATATAATAGTAGATCTAGTAAATTAAAAAAAATGTGGTATGTATACACCGCTGTACACCAGTTTTACAGGTCAGATAAATGTGTTGTAACATGGCAAGCGATTGGCTGCAAAAAGTGTCGGGCATATAATTCTTATAGCAAATTTTCATCTTTAGCATGTATACTTAATATCGAGGTTGGTTTAGTGGTCATGCATTTCTTTTAATGCAAGTCCATAGGATATTAATACATTAGTCTAATCTTCAAAGGTGTTTCAGCTATTAAGTGGCTGGAAGTTAATGCAACCAGTGCTGTTCTCCGAAAACATCAAACGGATCAGAGGTGGTTGTAAAATGAGTTTAAATTTCTTTTTTCAAAGCTTTACATTGTCTCAAAACGCGGTCTTACAAAGCTAATACATGTTGCTTAATAGCTTTACCTTGTGATAATGCTTATTTGCGTTAAATACTTAGTTCTGTATGGTCAATGTTAATATATAACCCTTAAAATAAATTAAATGCCACCAGTTTATATTACATAGCAGATGTGCGATTTAAGGTGAAATAAAATATTGATGTATGTATGTAAAGAAAAATGAATGTGCGAGCATGCGTGTGTATATGTGCGCGCATACGCATTTGTGAACTATTTCACTTTGTTCTTAAGATACCATATTTAGTCTCGACATGTCAAGGCTACCAATGTCAAGTTAACTTTTAACTATATTTTGTTTAATTGACATGGTATTTTAAAAGAAAGAATAATCGGCATGATTTATTATACACGCATACTTGCATATAAATCTCTATCATGTAATGTGGAGATATATAAAATATGACACATGAGCTCACATACAACATTTGATAGATTGTCCGCTTTGATTTTTTGTTGGTGTAAAATGGATAGCACTTGTTTTTGTTTGTGTGGCGTGACTGAAATAAATTGCCCCATTTACATTTGCCCTT